AGCTAAATGTATTTTCAAACAAAAGGTTGTGAGTTTGGTTATATGTTGTCATTTTCTTAGAATAGATTATATGAATGGAGAATCCGAAGGGGACTATTATCTTTGGAGCAGGGCAATGTTGATCAGACGTAAATGCTCATCAGACTAAAGCCAGTGGGTGTACAAGTGATTTTGATGCCTGCGAAAGGTTTAACCATCTGCAATCTTTTCTATTGATGATCTAGTTATGGTGTCTTGATTTGGTTGTGGTGTCTTGATTTAGTTATGGTGTCTTGATTTGGTTGTGGTGTCTTGATTTGGTTGTGGTGTCTTGATTTGGTTATGGTGTCTTGATTTGGTTGTGGTGTCTTGATTTAGTTATGGTGTCTTGATTTGGTTGTGGTGTCTTGATTTGGTTATGGTGTCTTGATTTGTTTGTGATGTTTGGTTGGTTGACTTTGTTGATGGTTATTTTCTGCAGCAATTGTTTTCTTAAAGCTCCTGTGAGGTAAGAGGTCAAACTTTGTCCACAGGGGATGCTTAAGTGTGAGACAAAGGTTTTTAGTTGCAAGATGTTAAGCTCTCAGGTTCGCAGTCAGTTTGTCTAAACGTGGAAATCGTCCTTTGTAATTAGCATTTAAAACTCAAATGTCATTATATATAATGAGGTAAAATAAGTGTATAAAGACGTTTTTTATAAACATGTCTGCATGATTGTTATCCTAATTTACCTTACACACATTTACGCCATCATAAGAATTGTTTTGTATCCCAGCTCCATTGGTTGCCTGATAAATCATTCAACAAAAATAACTATTGTAGCTTTTTTTTTTAACACTTTATCATACTTAGGGTATTATAAAAACTATCCCTTCATCCAGTGTATCCTCTGGAGTAACTAGGGTTCTTCTTAAAAGAAGGAGATATGGTGACGACACACCATCTTTATATGAGTGAAATACATTAAAAAAACTACAACAGGCTGTATGGCCGATATACAAATAGACTATATGAAGTATATTTAATTTCTAAGAACTCAAGGTTATATATATCAATACTGTTTTTTAGATCATTAATATTTCACAACTGATGTCAAGACAATGCTTTAATTTTTTAGAATGAAATAGAAACAATGTCATAGGTGATAATATTGTTGAAAGCAGCGGGTTGACTCTGAGTGTCATCATATAAATCATATACAAGATAGAAAATATGAGACAAAATGTATTAGAAATAACTATAAAATGTTTAATTATATATATATTACAGAATACAATTATATTGTGTCTTGTTGTTAAGTCTTAATCAATTGTTTGTGGCCACCTCCTCCTACATACACATTCATAGGGCCCATTGTACCAGGTGCCCTGAAATCCTGGCTGCACTAGTTTCCTGTTAGGGGCTGGTGACAGCATAGGGTCAAGTGAGAAGTCACATAACTTGCTTTTATGTTGAGATAACAGTCTAAAGAAGATACAAATGACATATTTTAATGTTTGGTGTCCTTACTTAAAAAATGACAGACTTTGATATACATACCTTTTGAATATTTGTTTCAATTTTCAATTTCCGCCTAAACTACATGTGTGTTTAAGTGTGAAAAATTCAAAAAATGAAAATAGTATTGATAAAAACTTTGCATAATTGTAACTAATAACTATCTGTGAACATCCTGTCCATATTTGGTGAAATTCTGATTCTGATTCCCAGAGATACATGTGATAAGGCTAGAGCTGTCCCTTTTGGAGAAGCCCTAATTTGACCTGTTTTCGTTTTTTGGTAAGATGCATAAAACATCCAAAAAAAGTTATTTTGCAGTAAAATATTTTTATACAACAATCCGTTTCATAAACTAGACATGTTCAAGTTATGAAAAAATATGGTCGTGCTTTGTTCTACCTCGGGTAGGGGTCTCTCAACTTTTAGGGGCCCAAGTTCCTTTACTATAAGGGCCTGATTTAACTAAGCTCCCAAGTAAAGAGTACTAAATTGCGTGTTCACTCCAAAAGTTTGCACGTTTGGTTGGTGGGCGTTTTGCGGGTGATCTACTAAGATTTGCGCGAATGACATCAGGTGCAAACCTTGTGGAGGCGGTAATATTTAAGTTAGTTTTTTTGCGTGTTCTACTGGTTTACATCACGGAGCGTTTGGACAGAAAGCAGGATGACTGCAAGCGCAAAATAGGTATTAGTGGGAGGGGCAAATAAACGCACAATACTTTCGAGTTATAGCAGATAAATCTCAATATTACAAAGAATATTTTGGTTATAAGAAAACCTCGGCATTAAACAGGGCCTCTCTTTTCTTCCCTTCATCTTAAGAATGAAGTGTCATACATTGCGCAGGAGGTGTGAGCTGTGTCCTCTGTGGCACGGACGCTCTACACTCGCCGTTGTTGCGCACCGGACAGCTGGCCAGCGCTGTGTCTGATCGGATATAAATGCCCTGGAAAGAGGTATCGAAGACGGGGGTACAAACAGTGGTGAGGTCCCCCAATCCAAGCGTCCTACAGAGTGCTCAGCAGCGGGCTTTAGAGGAAGGAGACGAGCGCATTATGGAGAGGAGCGCACCGGAGGGGGCGAGCTGGGGGAGAGACGCACGACCCGAGAAAAAGGAAATATAAAAAAATATAATGTTGGCGAAAAGAGGGAAATAGGAAGACATAAATGTCAATGTTGAAATTCTATACAATGCAGAGGCTGTGAATGTTCAGTTTTGTTTGGCTATATGGCAACAAGGTGTTCCTCTTCCTTAACGATTAGAATATTGAATCAAATTAAAAAATGAATGCATGCCATTTATTTTTCTGTCATTTGAAAGATGTAAACACTGTGATGTTGCGGCCTTCTTGACCTCTGAATTTCCATGCCAAAAATGCATTTTTGTCCTCCTCCTGGTCGTTTTTCTCATCCTCTGCCATTGTCGTTCGGTTGTGTGGAAAGTGCTCTCGCGCACTGACTTGCAGCGCACCTGCGCACATAATGCCACCTGCTTCTGCATCCGCACAGTGCAACCTGCGTGTAGTGCCGTAAAGTGATCCTACCGGCAATCCTTTGTTTGAGAAAGTAACTGTATTCAGAATACACCAATTTAAACTGTAACTAAAACGGAATACAATTACTCTTATTTTGTATTTTAAATACGTAACGCCGTTACATGTAATCCGTTACTTCCCAACCCTGCCGACACCACATGAATGCAGCATAAAGCATTCAATTATTTTACTTTCATTTCAGGTAAAGGAACATGGCCTCCGCTGGTTTTCTGCTCTTAACGCTCGCTGTCCTCAACAGTATAGGAAGTTCACAGGGTTATGGTAAGATCCTCCGTCGTATCGGAGTTTGAAATATTTGATTCTTCTTGGTATTCATGTGATTCTTTCTTCACAGGCTTTGTGAAAATTCACTGCAAGACTCAAAACATCGGACAGTATGAGCAGGAGTCACGACTTGACTGTGTAATCCACTACTCAAAAGAGGTAGAAGATCCTGAAATCTGTGGTAACTTGGAGTAGAGAGGGGTTGAAGAACCTACTTAAATACGAAAGGAAAACTAACATCGTTGCCTGGATATTCATTTGCTGAACCGTCCTGGAACAACAAGAACGTGAACGTATCCCTGCTCATTCACAAAACTGCTGTTAAGGACGAGGGAGTTTATACATGTTATGTGTTCACAAACAGTGGTTTTAACATCAACCAAACCAGACTGAACGTCACAGGTGAGCTCTAAGATAAAACTTTGTCTCAGCTTTTTGGCACACACACACACACACACACACACACACACACACACACACACACACACACACACACACACACACACACACACACATCATTTTGAGGGAATGATTAATCTCTGAAGCAGCCCCTGAGAGCTCATTTTTGTGTCTGTTTGTGTAAACATTTATAAGATTAAAGACAGAAGATGGACTGCAGGAAAGATGTAAAAGTGAGCTAGATGGAATGTAGATTGTGTGGAGAACGGGAGACTTTCCTTCCCCATCAGGCTGGTATTTACCTTCAACAGAGACTGTTCAATGTTTGCTCGGTGTCTTTGCTACTTTCTGTTTCTTTATGACAAATAAGATGTCTGCTGTCATAAAGTACATTTGCTTATCACACATCAAATATCAGTGGTAAAATAATAGTGTGATGATTGATGTCGAGGGTTGAAGTTCAGATTAATAATCATGTTTCATCTCCATGTTCTCCTTCAAGCCAAATACGGAGTGCCAACTATTCAGCCTCAACCTCAGGACATTGATCTGAACACCGACGGTTCCCTGACATGCAAGTCCACCGGCTACCCAAAAGGCAGACTCAGCTGGTTTGATAAAGACAACAAGCCTTGGTTAGAGCAACCCGAGGTGAAGGTGCTGAAGACAGAGAATGGTCTGTTTATCCTCTCAAGCACGCTGAAAATACAGGGAGGATCTGCCTTCTCCAACTACACCTGCAAAGTGTTCAACGCCAGAGGAGACGAAGAGGCGGAGAAATCCTTCACAGTGCAGAACAAACCACCATCGGCCAGAGGTATCCGTTGTCGAGCACCACACATGATACTCGTTTCCTTCTTCACACAACAACCGGTACTTTTTGTCAGATTTCTTTTCGCTACAGTCACATGTTATGTCATGCAAAACATTTTTTTGAAGCAACACCCGACGTCAATGCCGTTACGCAATCAGGTCTTCTTTTAGGATTGCTCAACTAAGAGGAACTTGAACCCAGGGGGCCGTCATAGAGGGAGGAACGCCAGGAGGATTTATCAGAAGTACAATTCAATTCAATTCAAAAAACTTTATTTGTCCCCGGGGGGCAATTCAAAGGCACACAGAGCAGTAAATTAACAACAGTGCAAGTAAACGAAACATTTTAACCTAAATAGAAAGTGTCAATTTAAATAAAACTTAAAGCTTAAACTTAACTTAAAAACACAAAATATAAAAAAGTAGATATAAGTGGACAGTGATCGGACTAACAGATGTAAACAGAACTATATGCAGTAAACGAGAAATAAATATATATATACAGAACTATGTGCAAGTAGGCAAATACTAAATGATAAGTTATTAAGGTACATGGTGAATAATGGAACAGGGTACGATATGGACATAGAATTGATCTGAGGAAATGATTGAGGCCTAGCAATCAAAATCTTGTAACTGAAGACATGAATGATGGTGACTTGTAGGTTCCCTTTTTTTTTAATTTATTCATTCAGGTAGCCGGCCCGGCCTTATCTCACCCGTCAGCACAAACACTGAACAGTCCAGACTTTGCTGTACTCACTAAAGCTGTTTTCACATATGCACTCCAGATGATATCTAGATAATTGCAGGAGGACCGCTCCGGAGATTCTCCCGACCTAGCCGTTCACCAGGCACCACGGGGTGGCCAATCAGATTTCAAGGGGGGGCCCACGCCAACCCTTTTTAGACACGCCCCTGTTTGTAGGCGGCTATAGATGTCGAAGATGGAAACTGTGTGAGTCCGATACAAACTCAAAACACAGAATCAGGCTGCCAGAAGCTGAATAAAGACGTTCCTGAAATACGACATATTTCTATAAATCAAGATGTTAAAGAAGGGTGAATATTCAGCGTTATCAAATCGGATTTGCAGGTGTTTGTTTGTTTCTAGAATATGAAGAACCTGGGTGAACCTTAGGGCTTATTTGGCAGCACCCTTGATTTGAACACTAACTGTTATTTTAATTATGAGAGCTGAGTCCAAAGAGCAAAATATCCCCAGGAGTGTTTTGATTATGCAGGGGAAAAGAAAATCTTGGCAGCTCAGACTGAACTTGTAAACATTAAACCACAACAGGGCTGAAGCTTCCTTAAAAAAACAAGTCGGAGCAACTTTTCCTCCCACGTTGCTTCAGTTTTGTTTCCTTCCATCTTGTAAGACATCAATAAGTCTCCAAGTGTGACCCAGTACTTTCTCTAAACCATGGGGGGGTCAAGCTTCTTGATTTCATGAAAGTTTTGATCCATTGTTCATACTCTTTGACGGGAAAACTCATGAACTGGTTCGTTGATATCTGTGCAGTGACCTTAACCGAGCTGTTACAAGTCCCCACATCTGCTGAATGCAGTAAACGGTCACTTATCATCAGCTGATTAATATCTGTTTTGCAGTTGACAGTCGCGCGTTTGCAACACCTAAATCCCCTCCAGTCGTTGTCTTTACTTTCTACTTTGTCTGGGAGGGCAGATCATTAACTCAGACCCCCCCTCCCCCCCCTAGAGAGAAAGAGATAGTGGATGTTTGCAGCTAAAAGTATCACAGGGGGAATTTCCCACCACTCCAAATATCTTCTTCTATGTTCTATCTTTATATCCATGTGAAGTATTACATCTGTAACTTTTTATTTTCTTCTATTTTATTTATTCAGGGCATGGACAAGGCGCCGAAGGCACCAATGGCTTCAAAGACTCAAACATGATTTTGGACACCATGATAGTGGCTCTGTGTTGGTCGTCGGGTCTCTGATCGTGGGGTTGCTACTTTAAAAAAGACGATCTCAGCGTGAGTACCATTAAATATATATCTGTATATTCAACATGGCAGCCTGAATTCAAAAACTGACCATTGAAAATGCATTCTTGTTTATTTAACATTTAGCCATCTTAACTTTAAATCTCTTGAAATTCAAAATGGTATTAATATATTGAAACCTATGTCATTTTGCACCAGAGGAGGATGTTGGATGCTGTCCTGCATCCTGGACTTTGCAAATGCATTGTTGTAAGACCTTAAAGGGGACATACTGTGTTATGAAAAGTCCACTTGTACAGTGTTTTTGAACATATATTTGGGTAACCTGAGTGTCTACTGACCCACAAAATGTGAAATAAACCCATCCAGTCCTTTGTTTGTGGTCTGCATAAGTCTTACAACACAGAGAAAAATGCTCTGTTTCAAATGTGCTCTCCTTGCGATGTCACAGTGGGATTCTGGTAAAATATAAATAAAACCCTCCCCTGATATCTCCACACATGGACTCCACCCCCAGACTAAAACAAAACTTTAGCGCAGGTCGGCCATTTTTATTCTCTCTACAGAGGAGTGATGAGAAGATGAGTCTCGAGAACGTCTTTGTGTTTAAAGTCACGATTTAATCTTCATTCACACTCTAACATTTCATCTGTTTTTCAGAAGATGATCAGGAAACGGAGGGAGATGTTCAAGAAAGTCTGACTACAGGTAAATATAATTCAAACATTTGAGTTGGATTGTCACTTTTTAAACGTCAATATAATTCTAGTAAGAATTAGACGACATTAAAAAAAAAAGTTTCGATACCTAGTCCCAAGTGCACAATTTTGGTTGAATTTCCATTTTTTATTGCCAAAAATGTACAGGCAAACTCCTGCACATTGTCTGAAATTGCACATAATACATTGGCAGCAATGTGTTTGTGCAATTTAGACAGTCACCACTTCTGCTGTCTGTTTGTTAGACATAAAAAACCATCACATCTTCATGACACACGAGTGTGAATTTGAATGAGCCATTGCAGCTTTGTGTTCAAAATATTAGGGCTTCAACACTTGCCACCTGCCAGATTTTTCTCCACAGCCGAGTGAGCTGATGTGAAAACGCAGCAGGATATAATCAGGAGAATTCAGCTCAAGCCAATAGGAGGGGGGAGTGACGTTTATATACTGTGACTGCTGCACTGTGCATATAGATTTTCAGGCAGATGTGAAAACAGCTTGTGACTGAAGGTCTTTAGTTTTTATTAAAGCTTCAATACTTTTGATACAATGCATCATTAAGGATTCTCAGATTGTCTTATTTTAAAACAAGTGGCATCAAAAACTGTTGCAAATTCAGTCAACCAAACAAGGTAATAAGTTTGTTACTAACCCTCCCTCTTCCTTTCTTTTTCTCTTCATCTCTCTGTGCAGGAGAAACCAAGACCACTCTTACTGACGACCACTGAAATCAACACTTCTTGTTTGCTTGAGCCCGCATCAGCATTTTAACTTTTCCTAATGCAAACATCCATGTACATAACCAGGTAAAGCTTGTATCACTGTGATTTAACAGAAACTGCAAGCGCTTTGTTCACCTTTAATCTACCAAGTAAACGAGCTCCAATCAAGTTTAAAATGTCAACAAAGACTGATATATCGCTGACAACAGGAGTAAAAGGGGTCCAGGTCAGGCTCTGTTGTCTTAAAGTAACCACATTGGGAACCGTTCCGACACCACGGAGTCTCTGATGTTGATTTATGGAGGACAAAAGTGTATAATGTGATGATTTAGCCCACGCAATAACTGTAGCTTTTGGCAGCTTATCAGCCTCCTTCTTACTCCCTCTTCACGTTCCATGTCTTTAGTGAAGGGTTAGAATCATGCAATACTTTTAATTCGTGTGTGTGTGTGTGTGTGTGTGTGTGTATGTATTTTAAGGAAATGCAACTATTTCCTGCCAACGTTTCTTTTATTCATATATGTTGTGCTAGGAGGGGTTAGAGGCATAAAAACAGGCGTGCTTGCTGTTGCCATGGTGCTTTCAGACACTCTCTGCCAGTCTGCGCGGGCGCAATCAGGAGAACAAAAAAGTTTGGGAATTTCATTCACTGTGTGAGAGTATGTAGTCATAAGACAAACATTTCAGGAATGCCAGACATCCATCAAACTGGTCGGAGGCAACAGAGCAGGCTGTGATAGGCCCTTTTTTTGAGGTTTGGTTTATTTAACTTTTTTCACAACCGAGTTCTCAGAGAAACCGCCTCGCATGCCTTTAAAATCTTGAATTCTGATCGAGCCTGCATGTCAAGCTCGAGCCTGTCAGACCAAATATTCTCTACTGTACTGAAGACAAGCCAAAAGTGGAAAACAAAACTCCTAATCAATCATAAATGTGAATGATTAACTGTTCTGTAACACACAGTTAATCATTGACCTGTTTGGAGAAAAAGCAGTTTATGAAGTTTATGAGTTTATGAAATCAACGACAAACGTCCTTAACTACTGTCAGTCATTCAGATTCTGTGTGTCGTGAAAATTAGGTTTATATACATGTATGTGTTTGTAAAATGAACTGTATACTCTTTTAATTATTTTTTTATCGTGTTTTTTAGCACTAGCACCTTGTACAAACTGTGAATTGTGATTGTATGGTAATAAAACAAAGTCTAAATAAAAAAAACATAAAACAACCCTGTGATAAAGTTTCATGTTGTGTGTCATGAAGGATAGCTCTTGTTTAATGAAAATAAAAAATACATTCAGGCAAAAGTGGTGCAGCTGTCGATGTAGTTGTTGATGACGATGTATTAAAGGTCACACATTATCCAAAATACAATTAAACACTAATGTGTCTCTAGGCCGTCTACAAACCACCCCCCAGTTATGAGAAAAGTCCATCCTCTAAGTCTTTTGCCTGCTCCACTTTTCAGAAAATGTGTGCTCAAACAGGCCGTTTTGGAGATTTTCCCTTCATGACATCACAAAGGGCAGTAACCCCTCCCCCAGGTGGGTGCTTAAAGCTGTTTGTTTGCACTTACTGACGTCGTTTCGTCCCCTCTAGATCCTCACTTGTCTTGTTCTTACTCCCTGATGTTCGTCAGGGAGCCCCGTGTGAAAACATCTGCACACTCTCTGATATTCTACTTCGCACCGCTCCTCTCTCGGTTGGTGGCATGTTGTCTTGTTTTGGCCCGTTTCCATTTTCATCTTCTTCCCTTATATGTTCATCTGATGACAGAGCAGCTTATCGCCACACAAGATCTGATTTATTCACGACCATTCAAAGCATTCATCACACTTCCTCGTTCTCTTCACTTTCTTTAAAACCGACTCGTAAGCGCACTAAAGCACCAAATGTTCATATGATTGCAGCACTATTTGATCTCTCTGGTTATGGATGTCTCTTAAGCTGTTTTCACACAGGACAGCCTGCCAACTGAAATCCATCTGAGTTGCATTTTCAGTGAGTCCGACTCGATAATGCAGGATTTCCCAATCTTGGGGTACCACATGGAGTCCAAATGGGGTCCCCTGAAATTTCAAATTATTGACCAAAATAAAATATACAAATAATATGCCTTAATTAAGCTACAAGACGGTATCCAGTTCCTTGTAGCACATGCTAAAAACGATCACACTTGCAGTATCTCGGTGTGTCTCATTAATGCGTGATGCGCCCAGCATCAAGCAAAAAGCTCTATGTGTTTTGGATGTCTGTGGTCCCCAGAGCTTTGTGAAGTCAAACTGAGCTCACAATCCATTAAAGGTTGGGAACCACGGCATATAATGACAGATTCTGCCTTTATATTAATGCTGTGGTTAATTGGACGTATTCAAAGTATCAATAAACGAGTAGACAAGAACACACTGCCACGAATAAAGCAGCTTCATGATGTGCACATGGATCCTCGGTTGTCACTGGCCGGGTAATATGAATAAATGTGAGCTAAGATGAGCTGGGATCTTTTTAACTAAAAATTCCAAAAAATCAGGATATGGCTGAATTTGTTTGTTTTTCATATCAGCATTAAATACCTTCCTCATCATATCAGTATCACTTTCCTCCAGATCAAACTTCAATAAGTCAAGATTCAATTCCAGTAAATCATTATAGACTGGAATGCTGCCATCAACTGGACAAACAGCAACACAACAGGTTGATGATCATAACAGAGCTCACTATATGATGCTGTTTTTTAGTAGAGCATTTTTTTATTTACTATTTGTTTTAAACAGACAAAAGTCATTTCAATGGAAACCTGAGCTGTAGTTTCCACGTTTCAAGGACAATATGAGCATGTAAACAATAAATCACTTTGCTGTTGACTTAAATCATTCCCACAAGGGTCAACAGAATACCAAGTTTAAAATCTGCTCTAGATATCTCCTGCAGTTACTGTTTCAATTTGGTTTGTTGGTTCTGCCTGCATCTAAATCCAGCCTGCAGAACAAGTGAGATAAGCTCCTGTTTTGGTGAACAGAGAAAGAAGAATGCTTCCATAAATAGAACAGATCCAGATCAGCTCTGTTGAAATGCAGTCCACTTTCTGACAAAGAGTACTGCCGTGCAGACAACACAAGTTTTCAAAGTATTACCCGTAGCATAAACAACATTCATTCATTTCTGTTGTTGTTGCTGCTACTCTGTTTGTCTCTGTCTGTCTTTTTCTTTCCATCTGTCTGTCTATCTCACTTTACAAGCCCAACACCATTGTGACAGATGGCCCCTCAACCAAGCAGAAACCTCTGGTGTCGAAAAATGTGGGAAAAAAAAGTGTCCACTAGAGGCTGGCTGCAGAAGCACCAGAAGTCACATACACACCCCATTTTAAAAACGCTACAGTATAAATAAACACGTTTTCAACCTGGTTTAAATAACTAAATAGGTCTGGTTAGCTCATGTCTCGATCGGCACACACTGTAAGAGGGGTGATTTTTTTTAACAACTCAGCTGTTTTGATTTTATGAAGGATAAGCGTTATTCAAAATAAGGAGCGTAGCTGACCTAAATGACAAGCGGACACGGTGCAACGGTTTGTCAGGAGGCTTAAAATCCGCCTCAGCTCGTTAGGTTGAATGAAAGTTAGGCTGAGACGTGATTTCCAGCATGGAGACCGCCATCAGTGGGATTCCAGCGCCCCCTGCAGGAACAGATGGGTAAAATCACTCAGGCTTCGTATATTCATATTTACAGTGTACGAGTTCAACATGAGTCTGGTCCTTTTTGAGGTTTCTGTCTGTTTTCTTGCCACTATAACTTTGCTAAATGTTGCTTAGCGCTCCTACACGTTGCTTTGCAGGATGCACGCCGGAGCTGTTGGGAGCCTTGCTCACGGGCAGTACTCGGGTAGTGACCTGGCACCTCTCCAGCTTCCATATTTTGGTCTTCACCAGGACTTGAACCAGCGACCCTTCAGGTTCCCAAACCAAGTCTCCACAGACTGAGCTACTGCCGCCCCAAAGAGTTTTGGAGTGGCGGCTGCTGCGGGAGCCTCCCTCAGTAATTTTTTGACTTTTTTAAATTATTTTTTGTGACTCATAAAAATCCCATCACTTTGACTTTAAGGTGTTTTATGTGCTTTATTGGGTCCATTTGTAGGTTGTTGTTGTTGGCCCCTTAGGTCTTAGTTGACACAGCAGACAGCCAGCAGCCTCCTTCTGTCAATCTTTGATAGCTTTGATTTTGAGTTTAACCACAATGCATCCTTCTTGTCATGAATAAAGAAAGCTTTGAAGACCAAAGCTCTTCTTTTGTTTTGTTGCTGTTTTGTGCCCCATGTGGCCACTTGAAGAAGTGCAGTTGTTTTGCACTTCCTGTTAGCTTCACTGTTAGCTTGTTAGGTTACTGCTTGATATGTTGTCATAATTGTTTCAAAGAAAACCTGTAAAGCATGTGCATGTTTTCATGAAGTGCTTTTCTGTAAAACATGAAGTGTGCAATGCACGAGCATTCACACTAATACAAATATTTATAAAATACATAGATGATATTTATGTGTCCTCATGAGGCACATAGCTGGAATCAACAGGAGAGGAGTGAGAGCAGGTGAGGGCTAGAGTCTGTTGAAAGTATTTGAGGACACCTGGTGGACAGCTTGGGCATGGCAGGTTATGGGGAGGAGGAGGAGATTAATTAAGGGCCCTAGGAGAAGGGAGCAGTCTGTTTTCAGAAAGGTGCTTGGAGCTCTGAAGAATATGCTTAAAATCACAGCAACGCTGTAATTCTATATCCTTTATTTTCCTCCTTTACAATGGAAGCCTCAGAGCTTCAGTTCAGACGATTACCAGAAGAGGGCAGCATTGGAGGACAGCATACACTCTCTTGCAGGAAGTGCAGATGGATGGATAGCACTTGTGCAGAATCTTCAAAGACACTTCTGGACCCTTAATTGACACAAAATATTTCCTTGGTAATAACAAAGTGTTTTTCCAGTCAATGCCAGTGTACAGATTATTCCAAACATAGATGCAGGTTTACTACAGGTGTCCCTCTGAACTATTTCTCTTATACATTAGTTATTAGTTTTAACACTTAGAAAAGAATCAGAACAGATTTTGGCCCAAGGCCTCATTCAGATTGTCATATATTTTTTTTTTTTTCATGCTAAAATAGAAAATGTTCTGTACAATGTATGTTTTTTCTTTTTTTTTCGACTGCTTTTACTATTTTCCACATTTTTTGTCAACTATGAAAATAAACCTAGGCACAATTTTTGCAAACAAGCGGACTGTTGTTTCACCATTTAATAACCTGAGCTTAATACAGAATTTACAAAAAAATGAACCACATTATTTGTTGACAGGCTTGATTCTGAGAAAACAACTTAAAAATAAAGTAGAATGAAGAAATCTAAGTATTTGATTCCCTTTTAATAAAGGGTTTCTTTTGCTAGCCTTTTGATTGTGATCTACAAAGCCTTGCTATTTTTTTTTTAAATAATGAGAAGACAATAGTCTTTCCCTGTAATTAGTTATTGTGTATTTACCTTATTCTTGGAAGATAAAGATAAAGATAAACTTTATTGATCCCCGTGGGGGAAATTTGTGCATTACAGCAGCTCCAGAAAACAAGGGACGGGAATATACTTATAAAAAATAAAAATAGAAGTTAAAAACAGATCAAACATATTTACATCATTTAAATAAAAAAATACAATAATGTAAAAAAAATACAATAATGTAAAAAAATAATGTAGTGCAGTGACCAATTTTAACAAACCCAATATGGTTTAGAAAAGTCACTTGAGGGATGAATGTGGAAGCTTTCTGACGCGTGCTTAGCTCGAAGAAATGAACACAGTCCATTGATGATTTGATTTGGATATTTCAATCCATTTCTTTTTAAACACTTCTTATCAAATAAAGGAAAATAAGACAAACCACTGTCTATAAATAAAACAAACAAATCCGCGTTGGATGCGTTTAACTCCGACAGGCTGACACGGTAAAAAAAAACTGTTTGCCTCCATTCAATCACCTGTCCCACCTCACCTGGAGCCTTGCCTTAACCACAGCATCCGCCCAGGCTACACATAGTGCCCAGTAGAGGGCCAACACACACAAGCACAAGGAAAATAGCATCACACAAAACAAACACCTCATTTGGCTCCAACAAGTAGCATGAGTGCAAGATCATTTATTGTGATTGGTTGTACATTGTCGAAGGTCTATGATGCTCCAACCTTATCTG